AGTAGATGCTGCACCAGTCTGTCAGTCTCCTGTGACACTCTCCCCTCACTTATGAACAAGATCCTGAGATACTAAAACACTTGGGGCAGCAGCTTATCCTTGCCTTGGAGTCTGTGCACCATCCTTTTCCAGCTGAGACTCATGGCCTCAGACTTGGAGATTCTAATTCTCATTCCTGAAGCGTCTTAATCAGCTGCAAACTGCACCAGTGCAAGCTGGAGGTCAGCGCCCAATGAAGCCAACAGAACCACATAATCTGCAAAAATCAGAGACTTCCTCCACATCTTGGCTGCACATATAAATTCTATAAATATTATGAACAGAATATTTGACAAAGCTTTGGTGGAGACCAGCACCCACTGAGAATTATTCTTGGCAATGTGAACCAAGCTCTTACTATCATTGCATAGCGACAGAAAATGACTGAAAGCAACTACAGCTAAATGCACACGAAATGTAGCTCTACAGTAGATGCAGTTTGCCACATGCTGTACTCATGGAATGGTGTTATGTGACCGGAGGAGCTAGCAGCTCCTACCTTCCAACACCTTGGGCAAGCAGATTTTTCAGCCAAGAGTTGGACAGTCACCTCCGCAGGTTCCTCACTCCCAGGATGGTCATTGCTTTTTGCGCTGGGGCTTGAAGTGTAGCAGAACTGGTTCTCCATTTTATGTGTGGGACATGACCCAGAGGTCTCAGGTAGACCCAGCATGGACGAGGTCTCCAATGATGATAGCTTCCAGTTTGGGATGTTCCCAGTCCAGATGATGAATGTAGATATGGGGTCATTATAGGGCTGGGCGATATGACCCAAAATTCATATCTCGATATTTTTTAGCTGGATGGCGATATAAGATGTATATCTCGATTTTTTTTTTTTTTTTTTTTTTTTTTTTTTATAAAAGCCATAAGTTAAGAACAAAAAGAGAGTTCTTAGTCACACTGTGTCCCAGATGTCACACGGGCACTTTTATTTTTCATCATTTACATCAGTAAGCACAACCAGAATTCATACATATTGCGCACTGTCGATTTTTGAGAAAATGAAAGGATTTTAGGCCATGCAGCCCGTCGTTAGCACGGTTAGCTCGCTAACACGTTGACGCTGTCCAGCCCCACGCATGGTAACTCGCTAACGGAGATTTTCCGCTTTCATCTTGTCATTGCCTGCAGGTGAAGCTATGGGGGAGGCGGAGTTGTGTTCAGTGAAGGAGAGGCGAGGCAGAGTAACGTTGCGTAGAGACAAAAGTGGACGAAAGAGAGGCAAACCTGCGGCTCCACAAGTATAATTATAACGTAACATAGACTATATCGATATAAACGATATTGTCACATCTTATATCTCGTATGAAAATATATCGATATTTTTTAAAAAACTCGATATATCGCCCAGCCCTAGGTCTTTGTCCTTTAAAATGACAGATTAACCTTATTCCTGTTGCTACTCTGATACTTCAGTCCAGGATCCATGGCAAACAATCATTAACTACCCTACCTGCATTAAATATCCTGTCAGATATGACGACAACTTATATCTCTGGGGTCTGTGCAGACCCTATTTGGTAGGATGAGGTTTAACACTGCAGCAATTCAAACCTCAAACACAAGTATAAAAAGTTATTGTCGTGTTTTAACATAACTGTCTAAACAAAACCTAATTTGTAAACTGTAAACATTACTTTGGACAGGGAAGTCAACTTCAGCTCGGCTATACTTATAATTAATTAATTATAATTTCTACTTCTCCCCCACTTTCTTTCTCTTACAGCACCACTGCAGTTCAGCCAGTGGTAGTGCATGCAAGTAGACAGCTTTTCTTGTAAGCTCCCTTTAGACCATTCCCCCACTGCTTGCGTTCCCAATAAAAAAATAAATAAAAAAAAAACAGCAAAAACTCCCCAACTTAAGATCAACTTTTCAAAGCATCAAAAATGGGTGGTGCTGAGTGTAGCTCTGTGCATTGCATTGAATGTCAAAAATCTCACCATTTCTCATGCTAACCTTTTAAGGTGAACCACTTAGGAGCAAGCAGTTTGCAAAATTGCATTTCTTTGAAGAGTGACAGTTCCCAGTAGAGAAGCAGTAGGTCTAATAAAGCCACCCATACAGTAATTGTCTGAGGACCTTTGAGACAATCTTTTAAAGCTACTTACCAAGGCAATAGATGTTGACTTTAATAAGATTTAACGCTGCTTATGGTTACTCAATTATCCCTAATATATATGTTTACGATAACATTTACTGGCTATTAAATAATTAACCTCGTCCAAGCCCGCCCCTGTCTGTGCACACATGCAGAACCATGGCTGGGGGTTTCTTTCTTTTTTTTTTTGCTTCACTTAATCTTCCCAATGTTTTATCTGCTATTCCTGTTAGTCCCTGGTCAGTTCATGCCATTACAACTCCAGGCACGGACTCCCATTTCTCCCCACATTCTTCCTAAGATGTTATCATTTTCCCATTGCATATAGCTAAAAGGTTATATTAGTTTATTTCATATAGATTAAATCTCCCATTATCTGAGGGACAATTTTCCCATAAACATAGATAATAGGAATTGTAAACTTTAACATAAATAACTGTTTAGTGTAAAACTGTTGTTGTTGTTTGCTACATTTTCTTATCAGTCTTGGGCAAATTACAGCAATGTCTGGAACAAGTCTTTAATAAACACATTAAAAAATGATTCTTGTTTGTTATTGTTAATATTCCTCGTCTACTTTTACAGTGTAAGACAAGCACCTGAATCTGTGTGCTTACATACAGTGGCTTGCAAAAGTATTCGGCCCCCTTGAACTTTTCCACATTTTGTCACATTACAGCCACAAACATGAATCAATTTTATTGGAATTCCAGGTGAAAGACCAATACAAAGTGGTGTACACGTGAGAAGTGGAATGAAAATCATACATGATTCCAAACATTTTTTACAAATAAATAACTGAAGAGTGGGGTGTGCGTAATTATTCAGCCCCCTGAGTCAATACTTTGCAGAACCACCTTTTGCTGCAATTATAGCTGCTAGTCTTTTAGGGTATGTCTCTACCAGCTTTGCACATCTAGAGACTAAAATCCTTGCCCATTCTTCTTTGCAAAACAGCTCCAGCTCAGTCAGATTAGATGGACAGCGTTTGTGAATAGCAGTTTTCAGAGCTTGCAGCAAAAGGTGGTTCTACAAAGTATTGACTCAGGGGGCTGAATAATTACGCACACCCCACTCTTCAGTTATTTATTTGTAAAAAATGTTTGGAATCATGTATGATTTTCGTTCCACTTCTCACGTGTACACCACTTTGTATTGGTCTTTCATGTGGAATTCCAATAAAATTGATTCATGTTTGTGGCTGTAATCTGTCAGCATGTGGAAAAGTTCAAGGGGGCCGAATACTTTTGCAAGCCACTGTAGGTCAGCTGTCTTGTCATTTGAGAGCCCCAAAGACTTAATGAATGTTGTCATGATTTTAACGGGTAAGAATAACTCAACCATGATAAATGATACACAGTCAACTTAATCATCACAGACTGTATTTGCAAGCTGAAAATATGAGTTACCTTTACTATGGTTTAGGTCTAGCTTTTAAAATGTATTTAAAACAAAATCAAATCAGGTGTACAACAGCCATGACTCTTAACTCTGTAGTTCACTCAAATTTATCCTCTCATTTGTGAGGTTAAGATAGTAACCATGAACAGCAGCATCCACAATTTGAGTCCCAGTGATGACCTTTATTATATCTCTCTCTTCCTTTATTTCCTGTTTGATTTTTAATTGCATTTGCTATTTATTATGGTGTTAGCCAAAGTTAATTATTATATCTATAACTGAGACTTATCTTATGTTGAATAATCACAAATAGTAAATTAAACAAAGTTATTGTTGTTACAATGTCAGCTTCTGAACTCAAAGGTTTAATCTGCTCCCTTGACAACTGAGGGCCATAATTGCTGCCTTTGTGGTTACTGTATCAGTTCCTGAAGTAAGAAGCCATAAGGGAAGAATGGAGGTCTTAAGCTTCACCAACAAACTCCAAAAGTCAGAGAATTACAAGTGGTGTAGGCTTTAGCTCTGTTATAAGTCATTGTCACAGATTGTGTGGTGACCTGTGCAATGAATAACATCAAAACAACTGGAAAATAGTGCATTTATTTTCATAACTGCACACATATGTAACCACAGTTTTTGTTTTTGTTTTGTGGAACTGTTTTTGCTGAAAAATCCCTGTGAACTTGGGCGGAATAATGTGACAAAATTGCACATCCATGTCAAAAGATTGGAAGTAGATGAGAATATTGTTTTACATTTTTTTGTGCAAACACAAGCACAACGGAAAATACATTGCAGAATGTTTAACTGGAACATTTCAGATTCTTATCTAGACATTAGATGTGAAATTTGCACTTTAGCTCCAGTCGCTGCTGTGAATGTGGCCAAAACAGTTATGCAGGTTTAAAATCTGGCAAACAATATGCCGATGCATGTGATGAGAGCAATCAGTCTGTGTAATGTGATCTATTCAAATGAGAGAAACAAGCCTCTGACATGTAATGTCTGATGTGATTATGACACAGTCATCATCAGCCATCGGTGTCATTGTTGCTTCAAATAAGTGTTGAATGTTAGAACATTACGTCTATTTCAATGAACAGAGAGATCTCAAAATTGTGTGATGCATCTGCTTTTTGTTTGATTTTATTGGAAAGAAATCAAAATTGAACCTAAACTGTCATAACAATTATACATATTTCTTGGCAGTGCATATAGTACATGAACTCTTTCTATAGTCTCCAGCATCACTTTTCATTCAGTGTAGTGCTTTGTTATTTCTTTACTGACATCAAAAAGTCTAAAGTAATGCTTACTTCAAATAACACTGTCTTCTTCTTTTTTTCTGTTTGCTTTGTCTCTGCTTCTTTACTTTCTCTTTTCTTTTTTTCCTCTTGTTTTCTTTTGCAACTTCTGCTTGGCTGCATGATCTGCCTTGATGTTTGCTCTACAACAGAAACAAAAGGTTAGTAGATTTTTTATTTTTTTTTATTTATTTTTTTTAATTATTACTTGCTTTTCTTATCTTGCAGCATCAGTTTTAGTTGGTCCCAAACTAATTTCAGATATGTTACTGTGGGAGTTTGTGAAATTGTAACCTGCATGTTAGTCATGCACTGAGGGATTTCAATTGATCTGTTAAAGAAGCACAACCCCCATTACTACTTGCACCTGTATAATTGTATAAAGGTGCATGATGCTGACCTGACCTTTCTGAGCAGTATTTCTCCCCTACATTTTTTCTATTTAATTTTTTTTATTATTTACTTTTTTTTATAAAAGCTATTGAAATTTAAAAGGTTTTATATCTAGTTAAATCTGACAAACATTTGAAGTTGGGATTGTCTTGTACATTTTACTAAAAGCAAAAGCAGTTAATCATTATTATGATGCAGATTTGAAGACTGTAGTTTGTTCGTATTTTTACTCTTCGTACTCACCAGTGTTAAAGATAAGTCTTTGCAGGTAGGTAGTAGCTAATCTGAAGTATTTCGTGTTGCTCAAAATACTTGTTAGCCTGTTGGTTTAACATGAAGAGCCTCTTCTAACGCCTATAAAACTCTGTCTGTGGACCGTGTTACATGTGTTGCCAAAGCAACCACAGACTTGGATTTATTATGCGACCTTGTAAAGTTAAGTTGTAACATCATCCTTCAAGAGTGTAGACCTCCAGCCAGTGTTATAACTCTGTGATTGATCGGTGAATTATTATCCAAGGAACTTGTGTAATTTTAGAAATTGCGTCAGTCTAAATGGAGTCTTTTAATTTTACAGTGAATTTAGTTTTAACTTGCCATCAGCAGTAAAGAGAGAAATAGTTTAGAAAAGTAGATGATTTAGTTTTATAAGCAAACACTATAACTTCAAATCTCCCTCCAATTTTTGATATATCGAATGCTTGCGCAGTGCATTCCCCTTTGGGGTGGCTGTATTGACATAAATAGTTGTAATATCAAAGGACTAAGATTTATTTATTTATGTTTTTAACATTTGATGAACTCAGAGTAAAAAAGGCTTCTTTGTACTGTGCCTTTTACTTACTTGGACAGACAAGAAGAAAAAGCGGAGAAACAAACAAGCAAATGTACTGAGTGGGCAAGCAGAGAACGAGCTGACAGCTCTCAAAAGTGTTGGCAATTTCTGTGATTTCACGGATAGCCTCTGGAGAAGCTCTTTGAGAGTATCAGTGTCAATAGATAGAGATAAAACATGTATAACATGGCTTTCCTTTGGGTGTTAGTGAGAAGACAAGGTGAAAATCACAGAACATATTCCAGTCGCTGGCAGGTGGGGAATTAAGTACTATGAGGAACATGTCCTCTTTTTACTGCACTACTCATGTCTCATCTGTTTGTTGTTGTAGCTTCTGGATCAGCCAGCAGTGATGGTAATTTTTTAAACATAATGGGCACTAGTTAAAACAAACCTGTAGAGACCTGCCTTTTTGGTATTCAGTTGGATTTGGTTAAATGTTTGTTTTCATAAAATGAACGATTATTTCTTTGAGAAGTAAACTGGGAATGACTAAATTAGTGGTGCTGGTTTTTTTACATCATAAACTAAGCCAGGCTTAGGAAACACTAATATATTTTATTTCAATAAAGGAATATATTAATAATAAAAGCTAAGCCTACATGGTTGGATCAGCCATATTGTTAGGTCCATAATTTGTTGGACATTTTTTTGTAATTTGCCACTGTTCAGCACCAGTGTTTTTTTTTTTTTTTTTTTTGGTGTTTTTTTTTTTTTCTTTTTCCCCCACACAGCCATGATGTAATTAAAGCTGAAATGCAGACTTTGTGCTTTAATTGAAGGAGTTAAGGAATTCTAAACACTTTTGAGTGTTTGAGTGTGCTCAAATGTAATTGTACAACTGATTTATAAACAGTTTCATGGTCAGGTGAGGTCTATTCCCTTGGTGATAAACGACAAATTAAACAGATAAAAGTTCTGGAGTGTTAAGTTGCACTTGTTAGTTGTTCATTAAAGAGATGCTGGTGCAAGTGAAGGAGGCCATCGCATAGCTGAAAAAACAAAATGAGCAAAATGAAAAAGGAAAATGTTTAGGAGTGGTCATGAATAGAAATGGTGAGTTTGTCAAACCATGGGCTATACTCAGGAACAAGAACGCCAGATCAGACGTCGCCAGAAACATCTTTAAAAAAAAAACAAAAACATGGTGGAAGCCGGACCACTAGTGTTTATTGATGATATGATTGCTGATAGAAATAACAAGATAACTTCTGAAGTGCACTACGGGGCTGTACTAATGCTTGGATTGCTGCACATGCTCCAAAACTGATTGGACAGTGCTTCACATTGCAAAGGATAATGAGCTAAAGGCTAATGCAAAAACAACCCAAGAGTTTCTCAAGGCAAAGAAATGAGAAAGATCCTCATTGCCTGAGTCAGTCACCTGATCTCAACTCAGCAGAGCATGCTTTTCAGTTAGTGAAGACAAAATTGAAGACAGAGACCCACAAACAAGCAGCACCTGGAGGTGGCTGCATTTAAGGCCCGGTAGAGGCAATCACAGTCTGCACTTTGAACACTTGATTGTTTGATTTAAAAGTCACTGTAATGGTATAAAGGACTAACTTTGTAATCGTCCACATATGTGTCATTCTAATTCTAGTATATTCTATAATTACATCTTGATTCAGAATTTTAGAATTCCCTTTGAGATTTTGAAGATAAAATTTTAATTGTTACCATGTTCACATATGGGGGGGGGGAACAATTTCTTTTTCTTTTTTCCCCATATGTGAACTTGTCAGACTGGCATGTTATATGAATATACATAATTGCAGTTCGTGTTCTAAAGAGTAACATCTTAATTGATGTCTGCAGCATGTTTTCTTTCTATTTCTTTTTATCAAGGAGAGGGCAGAGAGACAGTTTTCGTCGCTATAGTGCTTGGAACAAAAATGAGCAACAACATGAAGAGAGCTGCCCTTTCCTGAGCCTTCTTTTCAACTAATAAATAACATCCAATTAGACGAAACCCTCAAAGATCACAAAATCAGTTTGCCATTTCTTCCTGGAATACAAGCATCCACTAATAACCTACCTCTACTGAAACGCTGCAAGACGGTAGACAAAAAGAAAGAGAAATGGAAAGGGTGTTGGGGAAAGAAACTGCTAAAAATTGAAAAACATAAGGAAGTTAATAGCTTTTTTTTATTATTATTATTTTATTTACTATTGGAGCCTGACCAATACAGGATTCAGCTCACATCGGCTGGTAAAAAAAGGTTCAAAATGGCCGTGGGCTGTTCTGTGTTATGCAACAAAATGCTTAAACTTTAAAATGTAGTTATTACAGAAGAGTTGGGAGAAAACAACACCACAGATAACATGCTGCGGTATTAGCAGCATGCTGTGTACTACTATACCTTTGGAAGAGATATACTTAAGGAATAATTCAAAACCGTCACAGCACATAGACTGTATGGTAATTTACACGTTAGCTTTGAAAAGTGGTTCTATGATTGTCTTAAATATACCGAAAAAGTTATTCAATAAATCCATATAATGCTTGCGTGGAGATGTTGTGTTAATTTGATCAGTGCAAACATAGTATTTAATTTGGTTTAATCTGATTACCAGTGGTGATGCTGTATTTGTTGTTGCCTTCCTAAGTTTTTGGTTGTTTCCCTCCTTTTTTTAAGAATACTGTACAATATGAATAGTGAATGTCTGGCAAAGCAGATAATTAATAGGAATCATAGATTAAGCTTGTAAACATATGCAGCTTGGGATATGTTTTAGCGTGATGATGCACGAATACTTAGTGAATAAATAATTTGAAGTCATAGCATGGTTATGCTTGGACAAGATGCTTCACGCCTATCCTTTTTTAAAATGTTATTTACTGCAGTGTAAAGGCTTTGGTTTGAGTCAGTGTCAGGCTCACTAGATCAATGTAGCCTGTTAAAGAGAAAGTTGAGGAAAGACTGTCTCTTTTCCTACTGCTGGCATGCTATAACAGATAATTAGACAGCTAATTTCCATATGAATATAATGGTCTGGTAAGGAAGTGTATTTGCATTGGTCCTGTCATTCTGCACAAGTATATTTGGGGAGCAGAAATTGGGCTGGTATGTAGGAGGGAATTAACTCGTATGCTTGGTTTGGCGGTTAAGCAGCACATACAGTAAAGAAAAGGCTCTCATATGGTGGTAAAGACCGGTCAGCGCTAACAGCTTTTCATCACTTGTCATACTCAGGCTGATGTGACACATTAAACAGCTGTGTTCATTCATATCCATGCCTCTCCCCTGTCAGCCTTCACTGCATTAACCCTCAGAGTATCTGTAAATTGGAGCCATTTAACATATGTATATGATGGTTAATGGGTTTCTCAAATGCAAGGTGGGTGTATTTCCTAAAACAAAAGCGAGAGCTTTTGTGGTCTGCTGCGTGGAGAACTTGAAAGGCTTTTGAATTACAAGAAAAGAAAAGAAGCTGAGGAGGTTGGTGGACACCATCACAGAATTAGGAGACGATTGAGGACTAGAGAAGGTGGGGATAAAAGCATTACAGTAGGCTGTCCTGTTGAAAATCATATGCCTAAATATTTTTTTTGAGAACTTAGCATTATATTCTCATTTATGCTTATGTATTCTTAAGTTGCCTAATTACCATATTAATCTCACTTAGCTGGATAAAAATAAAAATCTGTGTTACCTCCAGAGGTGCACGGAGTGCAGCTTTGTTCACTGAGGGCAGGAATTAGCTTCTAAAATCACATCAAATGTTTTAAATATAGCTTGTTTTGAACCGCACTGACTATATGAGGATATCAGCAGCATGTCCATGTCTAGCTGCCTAGCAGTCAGCATTGCTGCTGATATATACCTGTTCTCATCAAATGGACTTTCTCTCCTGTGTGTCTCTGTCTCGATTGTGCTTCTTTTCTCCTTCTCTCTCGCTCTCTTTATGGTTTTGCTTTGACATTTTGAA